AGTAGAACTGGCTAAGGCATTGTCCAAATCACTCAAATGAAGTGTGAGGGGATTGGAAAGGGATGAAGACTAAGTGTTTGGCTTTTTTCAATAATAAACAGCAATACCAATACACCTCTTAATCCCTCTCAAATACGGTTGTTTTTGGGAAGTTTGCAATTGTCCTTCGCCATAAATGTAATAAGATCTACCCACCATTGGCCAACAGCATGACCCTAAAATTCTACAGTTGCATGACAAAATTAATTTTCATGAATAAAAATGTATGTAAATGCTTGAGTGTTACTTTAGATACTAACGTCATATATGTAACATTCACATTCTTTCGTGTCATTACTTCATCAGACGTTGACATGTGGTATGTGCGTTTTGCATGCCAGAAGGAACAATTTTGTACCGATACAAACCAGTAGGAGTTACTCAAGCTGACATTAACCAAATTTTGCCCCACCAATTTTGACGATGGTTCTTGGGGAAAACTATTTTCAGTGACAGCATTAACTTTCTAAAATTGATACACAGACTAAAACTGTCGTCATGTTTATGTTCTAAAACACAAGATGAAACTCTCTTCACTTTATCTAGGTTCAATCAGATCATTCTCCTATATGTATTCACATGTATTCACAATTTCCTAATCAATAAATATACAAATAAGGAGATGTGGTGTGATTGCCAACTATAAAATTATACACTAGAGTTCAAACGTGAATATAAGCAATTATCGGTCACCGTACAGCCTTCAACAATGAGAAAACCCCTTACCGTACAAGCAGCAATAAAATGCCCTGACATAAAAATGTGAAACAATTCAAACTGGAAAACAATCGGCATAATCTATAACAATACAATTTACGAAAAACAAATATGACGGACATGAACCGACAGCAACAATTGAATTATAGGCTCCTGGCTTTATATACTTAAAAAATGCGACGGGCTTAAACATGTTTGTAAGCGCTCAATCCTTCCTATCCTGGGACAGTGGTATAACAGCAAAACATAAGCACTAACCATACAAATCGGTTTCAAATGATTTACAATTGATCGGTATGAAGCACAAACACAAATAACATAAAAAAAATATTCGACACAAATCACGTAATCTGCATTGATAGAATACACCATGAGGATGTTATAATGCAATTTCCTACCCAAAATCTACACCAGGAACAATACCTCCAGGACATAAATTAAAAAATTTAACTAACAAACATTTTGCTAAACTTCAGATTTATGTCATGTTTCTGATTTTCATTAAAAAATAGAATCATTTTCTTTAATATTATCTTCCACATTATGTTTGTCGTAAGGTTTATAACCAATTATTCCTGTACATTAGGCTGAGGTAACTACAAGCTTTGATGTGTTTGTGTTGCCCCTTTGGGTATGTTCCTGTACATTAGGCTGAAGTAGCTACAGACTTTGATATGCTTGTGTTGCCCATTTGGGTATGTTCCTGTACATAAGGCTGGGATAGCTACAGGCTTTGATATGATTGTGTTGCCCCGTTTGGTGTGTTCCTGTACATTAGGATGAAGTAGCTACAGACTTTGATATGCTTGTGTTGCCCCTTTGGGTATGTTCCTGTACATTAGGCTGAAGTAGCTACAGGCTTTGTGTTGCCCCTTTGTGTATATTCTTTCATCATATTTATGGAGAACACTTGTCTTGCTTTGCGTTAGACTAAGTAATTTACTTTGGACCCCATTTTATGTCGACTAGGTTCATGACCTGTTATGGATATCCCGGAATAGGTGGAAAAAGTCTGTTTGCATGTATAAACATCCACGCCCGGTCGAATTGAAGACGTTAAATCCTATGTCTCGGATTGAGAGTGCAATCCTCTCTAAGCACGAACTGTTGCAAAAACTGTTTGGATGATATTGTTGTGACCTGTTGCAATGAAAAACTTTTATCCATATCCAATATACTCTCTTTTTTAAGTGACAGTTAAGATTTCCGTTCCTAAATTTTGTTTCACATACTTGTCAGAATCTATACATTTTTGATTCATATTTTATTTGTTCTGAATAGACATAAAACATCTGCTATATTACGTAAATAAAACAGCAATAAATCAACCTTTCACTTTATGTGATGTACAGCCAGAAACACATAATATGAAATTAATATTTATATGTTCCAAAAGCCCATATTCTTCAAACAGTCTAACCATTCTATTCCTGATTGTGACATTATGACTGAGTGCGCATGACAGTTGATGCATGCATAGCAGGAGACTATTACCCTATCGACGTAGTTCATGCGATTCTCTAGTGTTTGCTTGTTACCTCGATTTGTCTGCTGACTCGATTTATAATATTTGAACATCGGTAAACCACTGTTGATTTAACGGGCCTGACTAGAAAAACGAAAGACTACTTCAAAAGTGCTAAAATCCATAAACTGAACAGCCTCCTTAGCTGCAAATAAAATCACATGGATCCCCTCATCCTAGTCTTTCTGACATACGACACAAAAAGTTTAATCAAATATGTCAGGGTTTAGATATATGACTGGTGATAATCACTTGAATTAAATTGTTTAGTGACCAACTTGTAACAGTACTTACTGATTTTTTGACCAAAAAATACAAATGTAGATTCCTGATCTGACTGGATGGTGCGCAATATGAGAACAAGGTCTGTATTACTCTACTTAGTTGTAGGATGTGGTAATACACACTCAACAACAGCCCTCAATGGAGCAGGCAACATATATTTTCTAATTGGGTGTATTTTAAAGAAAAATGGAACGTATAATGCTTTCTACAAGAATCAAAAACATATTCTGTCTACATATTGCCAATAAAATACCTTAACCTATAGCTGTGCAATGGAACCTATGGGAATGCAACACGAGTATAAATCTCAATAACCGAAAGTTATACCATAGATATCTATGGTATAATTTTCACAATTATACCATGGTTTTGTTGTATAGGGTCTTCGAGAAAAAGAAAGATAGCAAGACCTGGCTGCCTGAATTTTTTGACATTTGAACAACAGAGTCAGTGCGGGACCACTAAGCTAAACTGCCCGCTTTGCACTAGCCGATATAAATGAATGCCTAGGGTGGGAATCGAACCCACGTACACCAACTCTGTTGTCCTATATTTTTAAATGAAAAAAAATCGCTCCTAGAACAAATAAACAAACATAAAGTTTAAAAAGTATATAAATGAGTATATATTATACTGGAAAATATAAGTTGATTTTTGGTTATTGAGATTTATACTTGGATTGTATTCCATAGGCTTCACTGTACAGCTACATGTATAGGTTTGAATTTGCCGAGGCGGCTTTTTGGGGGGAGGGCAGGGAGCAAACCCATTTTAAGGAGCTTCATATTTGGTAAATGCATAGACTTTTTCATTGTATTACTCCAAATATTGGCTTGCTAGATCCCCCTTTCAGAATCCTGGTCCCGCACCCGATTTGTTATACATTGCTGACATCTAGACTTTAACCAGGTTGCTCAAGTAATAACAATAATGTTGAAATGTTAAAATTAGATAGCGTCTGGTTTTCTAAATGAAGCCTAATTTTTGTGTAAATTATTGCGTCCATATCCAGAACATCTAATTCCTTTAACATTTGTTCGTCTGTAACGTTATCCGTCACCAATGTACATGTGCATCCATCGCTGTCGAAACATCTCGTCTTACTGATTTTCCCGCTGTTTCAGAAGCCCGTGCTTATTTTAAAAAGTAGGCGGAGCTTTATGTGTAAGGCCCGAAAAGGGTTATTTAACTGATTCTTATCAAAACTATTTTTAAAGTAAACAGCAAAACATGCGATAGGTTAAAACAGATATTCCATATTTTTTGGATAGTTTTGCGGCATTTCGTAAATTATACCATAGTTTTTTGTTGAAACCCCTCGGCAACCTCACTCGACTTCGTCTCGAGAGGTTATTGCCGGGGGTTTCAACAAAAGCTATGGTATAATTTACGAAACACCGCAAAACTATCCAAAAGATATGAAATATCTATAACTTAAAATCCAGCTGATTTTCATTAATACCGAATTGTCTAGTCAAAGATTTTTAGGAGAGTACTGAACCACACTAATCATACCGCATCTCTTCCTTTTCATCTAGATAGACAAGAAGTCTCCACTTTCTCATGAAAACACTCGCTTTCTCAAAGAAGCCAGATTATTTAATTTCACATTCAGATATATTGATGATATTCTTTCCATTAAAAATCCAACTTTTCTGATTGGGTTCCATGAATGTATCCTCCAGAACTAGAAATTAAAGAAACAACGTATACGGCATCCTTCGCCTCATTTTTAGACTTATACATCGAATTTGACATAAGCGGTCATCTCGGTAAAAGAATCTATGACAAGCGAGACAATTTTAATTTTGAAATTATAAATTTCTCCCACCTTAGCGGCAATATACCAACTTCACCTGTATATGGGATATACATTTCCCAACTCATTCGGTATTCAAGAGCTTGCAGCTGCCACTCAGACTTTACAAAACGTCACCAGTGTCTGAGCAAAAAGTTGATGAGCCAAGGTTAATGTCAAAGAACGTCTCGTCCTTTTTCTAAAAAAAGTTCATCTGTAGATACCAAGACCACTTCACAAATAATACACCCCTATCTTGAAGTATAGATTGTAGGTACTGACGTTGTTTATCATCTTAATTACGTGTTATAGTGTTCTTTATATTTGTCTTTGTATATTTTTAACCTTTACTGTTTTGTCCATTTTTGCTTATGTACTTTGTCTATCTAGTGTCTATATGGCATTTTGTTTATTTGCTTTTATAGTGATTAAGATTATAACACAATGTTGACTGCTGTACCCCAATTTTTGACAATTTTACCTTTTTTGTCTGTTTGTTTTGCTCACACTTTGTTGTCAATATAATGACATCATGGTCTTTAACAATAAACAAATGTCTATACTATTATATGTCAAAGTCAAAATAGCAGTTAATATTTCAAATGAAAGGCTCCTATTATTTTATTTCATTTTCAGGCATCTGACAGAGAACTTACATGGGTACTTCGTTTTAGTATAGTAGTTGTAGGAACTCTTGGTGCTATAATTGCTATATCTGCCAACAGTATTTATGGATTGTATATATTGTGCGCTGATGCCATGTATGTTGTTCAGTTTCCTGTTTTAACTTGTGCATTGTGGGTACCATTCGCAAATACATATGGAGGAATCAGTGGACTTGTTGTAGGAACCACATTACGTGTATTAGGAGGTGAACCAGTGTTGTCATTTCCGGCTATTATTGAGTATCCTGGGTATAATGATAAACTAGGCCAGATATTTCCCTTCAAAACATTTGCAATGTTGTCGTGCACATTTTCACTTCTTTCTATATCATATTTGACAGAGTATTTGTTCACAAAAAGAAAAATTTCAAAAAAGTTTGATATCTTCAACTGTTATGGACCTAAATCAAGTAAATGTAAAAATGATGTAAGCGATATTGCAATGACAGTTAAAACTGAAGATGACGTCAAAAATGAAACGGACAAATTTTTGAACAATTGATATATTTTTAAAACAGAATTATAACATATTTTTTTTTTTATATAAAAACTTCCCTGGTGGCATTATATATACCAGGGTAACGGTAAAATGACAAGACATACTGTAAAAACATTTCATCGAAGTAACTGATGATAGGTCAAGTGCGAATCCCAAATGACTTTGTTTCAGTGCGTCCTTTTTATATCTCATAGGAATGGTGCAGGACTCGTATAAAGTCCGAGGATCAGGAATAATTTCTTAAAAATTGAAACTAAAACTTTATAAATTTGGTGCATGCGAAACTCTTTTCTAGATTTACAGTCATCAGGATAGATAATAACTCAAAATGTGAAAACCGGTATGTATAAATACTTGGATGAGCTATATGACTAAAAGTCACTGTGTCACTATCAGAGTTTCATTTTTTTAAATATATTTGATATTTGCTGAAATATATTCAACTTAAAGAAGGTTTTATTTTGGAAACAATATGCTAAAAAAATATTTACTCTTTTGTTGTAAAAACTCGGAAGTATAGTGTCGATGTCTTGAATATTAATTTCATAAATAGTGCCGAAGTCAACAATATCTCTTCATAAATGGAACATCGTATCAAAATCATTACATAAGCAACTGAACAATATGCCGTGAATTAATAAATTGGCCGCACAACAATTCATTTCTTTGGTTTTTTTTATCATTTTTGTGATGAATTATATGTAATGTGTTCACGTTTCACGTATGCCATCAATCCCATTGGGGTATTCATTTTTCAATAAAGTTCAATTATTCTTACTTTGCTATTACTTGAGATTTCATCCGGCTTGTCGGTCGACAGTGGGGAGAACATTTTCTGGCCGCAGGTCATCAGTGAAAAAATAATAAGCCGGAGCAAACATCCCGTTCACCAAGGCGGGAAAAAATAAAAAACAGTCTACTAAAAGAAATACTCAGAATTTATTGAAATACATGTATTTACCTAAAGCATACATCTTTATGCTCCGTCTTAAAAGAGCACGACATAGGATTATTTATGCGATTGGTGATACTTTAAAAACTATTTAACTATCTGAAAGAACCATGCCCTACAGAATGCTTTTTTTTTTCGAATTTCAATTTAAAAACTTTTAGCAAATAGAACGATATAGCCAAATATCAGATGGGGACGAGAATCTAGGATTATTTTTTTTTGTTATAGCCTCAACGTGGAATTACGTTTTGCCAACTTTAAAAGTTCTTTTCGGTTATTATAAAATGGACACTGTAATTGATGTAAGAATGGAAGTATTAAAAAGATTATAATCATAGAATAGCAAAGAAAAAAAAAGTCTACAGCAAATAAAGGAACCACCGGCATTATACATTTACTCTGAGATCTCCATTTTTTAAATTTTTTAAGGCCTTCCCCTAATTTAGACGAAAGAGATAAAATTGAAGTCATCTAATTAACCCCTTGAAACACTGATGCATTTGTTTTATTGTACGTGTTTGTAAGAGTTACTAAATCATAAACTCACTTTACTATGTTTTTTGGGAAGTTAAGTTTAAGGTGTGTCTATTAGAACAGTTTAGGGTATGTGTCTTCGATACGGGACAGCTATGAATAAAAGGAGATGCAGGGGGTAAACATCAATGATACAGCAACTAAACAACAAAACCGAAAATAGACATCTAGAAGATATGTTTGGTATTAATACAATGCGTAATGCCCTAAATAAGTTTTTCCTCAGTCTGGTTAAAATGCAGATCTGTCGTAATTCGATTTCTCTTGTTTATGAACATAACTAAACCAGAGATCTATATTTCAAGTTGATTGGTTTTTCATTTAGCAAAGGTTGTTGTCTTCTTTATGATCGTACAAGAAAGTGGGGGGGGGGGGGAGGGGGGGGGGGTATTATTTACAGACAATTTTTACTTTATATTTTGATTGATTGTGGCTTGTTAAACATCTAGTTTGCAACATAATATTTTATAACAGATTATTATTTCAAATTTCTTTCGTTCAAATGGGTCATTTAGAATCATATATTCTTCAACAAAAAGAAAAAAAATAATAAAAAGCATATCAAATTCAAAACATAAAAATGCACTATTATACATAAATATGCCAACTGTACTGATTAGTTACTAGTATTTTTTTATTTACTCAAATCATAGAGAAGCAAACTACTAGTATATCATATTTTGGTTATTCATTTGTTATTTATATTTGAACTTTGATTCAAACTGGTATTTTTTACTTTTTCATAATTCAGCCTTTTCTGATAGAAAAAAAACTTCTGAATTCTACGGTGAGTTATTACTCTGATGTGCTAATTTTTTGTCTAAAAAAGAACAAAAAATGTCAATTATGACTAAAATATCTATATTTTGGCTTACACGTATATATTTTTAGAAGTTCTAAAGATGTCATGACATTGAATTTTTGTCGATAATATTATTTTTTGAGTGGTCTCACTTTTCATTGACGTCACGAAACGGCAAAGCCTTAGTACAAAACTTGTCAATATTCTTAATTTATAACCCCAAAAATACTCAATGCAAATAACTGTTGTTAATAAAATCAAAATCCTGCTTGAGAATAAATTACTTCACAGATTATTAGAAGTAAAATCCGATACAGGTCATACAGAAAATGAAAGTAAAATGGAGAAATGTAACAATATTTTTCAAAATATTGATGGTCTTTTTGATGTATTGCCCGGATAGATCTGCATGAAAATATGTATAAAATGTTCGCGGAGAACAAGGTTTAAAAATGAGTACATACTTATAAGTTCTGTCGGTTATTTACAGAGTTCTACTCGACTATATGTCATAACAAGGTGAAATGGACATATATGTCCTCTTGGGACTCGGCCGGTTGAGGACACATATGTCCGCTTGGGACTCAGAGGGTTAAATCAAAATGCAGTTTTCAAATAATCAATGTTGAACTATTTGTGACCCTTTTTGTATCTATAGTCGGTTAGAAGTCTTCGTTTCTTTGTTTCTAGAACCTGATAATCTATGAAATTGTCAAGTTATGATCATTTGTAGACCATTTTTGTTTCTTAAAAAAGATTTAAGTTGGTCTGGGTTATTGCTTCAAATACACTATGGACACTATGGGCGATGGTCATCACTAGCGCATAGGGCATTAGCTACAAGCGTCTCTGTGTGTGCTCCAAAGAGACAAATGTATCCAAGTAAGGTTGATGATCAGTTTCATGTTTTATGTTTTATGTCCCGACAACATTGTTGCGGTAAATATAGTTTTCCGGTCTTTCGTCCATCCGTTCGTTCGTCAGTTACACTTTGGTTTACCTTTGCATTTAAGATGATTTCCTAAAAAGTTTCAAGTTGAATCTTCATGAAATTTTGTACCGTACTCTTTATTTATCATGATATGGACTAACAACTGTGTAAAAATGGGGGAGTTCCATCGATAATAGAAATAAGCGCCAAGCGGGACACCCCTGTCTTCAAGACATTTCCTTGTTGCATCAGTCTATAGATTGTGTTCAAAGTATCTCAGTAGGTAAATCCACATCTAAATCTACATCCCCGTTGATTTTATAAGAGTTCTGGGGACTTGCTCAATATGACCCAATGTGAATATTGTGTTGGATTAGTGAAATACTGAATGTTTGGTTGAAACTACTGTTCTGAAAAATCGAAAAGTTCAAGTCCTGTTTTGGTCTCAATATGGAAAAGAACGGATATGGGTTAATGGCACGAAGACATCACATATTGACCATTTAATGCTACACAAAAATAAATCTAGAGCTGACGACACGAACTTCAATAGAGCAGGAACTTCCCACTTACAGACAGCCATTTCTGGATGGCCTCAAACAAAACAGGAACAACCGAACCAAAGGGCACAGCAAAATGTCCAAATATCTAATTTAAAACTAAAAGGTTTAATCAGGAACATATATGTCCCTGATTTAATAACACAAGAATCGACACAACAATGACTTAAATGGATCCTTTAAATATAAAAACGACTTCCGACCTCTATGTTGGAAAAACCGACCTGTGACCTGTACATTTCCCTTAAAAACGACCTCGCAACCTTGCGACGAATTTAAAAGCGACCTTGCGACCTGAGGGGGTACCCTGTGGGAGCCCCATACTATATTTTCGACACTTCGCAAGAAGGGTCAGCTTTTATAAATGGTCCTAGGTTTTGCTTTTTACGTAAATTAAAGAGTTTCTTTCACTATATTGAAGAATTCAAAGTATTGACACACAGGTAGAAGGTGTATGACAAATCCGAAAATTGTAAACACGTTACAACTCACTGTCAAGCTGCTGACCAAATGAGAAGTCTTTCTGTAAAGTAGTAACTGCGAAAATATTTGTTGGTCAAACGTGTGTGCGGAGGTGTGGACGGACAAACGGAAGGACAAGGTGAATGCAATATAGCCTCTACTCTAAACATTCTATAGTTAGCTATAATTATATTTTGACACTTTGAACGATTACAATTATTTATTTATCTAAGTGATAAAATGACATGCTCTGAAACAAGTAACATTTGATATTATTTTTTTTTCTTCTACTTTTTAGTTCACCTTATGCCATCACTTGGCGTCTGTCGTCGTCGTCGTTGTCGTAAACTATTTCAAGAATCTTCTCCTCTGAAACTACTGGGCCAAATACCTTCAAACTTTAACTGAATGTTCCTTAGGGTATCTAGTTTATAAATTGTATCCGAAGTTTTGATCCATCAACAAACTTGGCCACCATGGCTAAAAATAGAACATGGTGTCAAATGCAGTTTTCGGCTTATATCTCAAAAACTAAAGCATTTAGAGCATATCTGACAAGGGGTCAAATGGAGGACCAATTGGACCACCCATTGTAGGGTTACTGTCCGAAATAGTTTATTTTTATGAAATTTTACTGTTTTGGGTTATTATCTTTGATATTATAATAGATAAAAAGTGTAAATAGCAAAAATGATCAGCTATGTAGGATCTACAAATAAGTCAAATGATCAAAATAGTCAATTGACCCGTTACGGAGTTATTGCCCTTGAAACGTTTATTTTTTACATTTTTTCGTGCAAGTCTATTACTTTTTCAAAAATCTTCTTCTCTGAAACTACAGGGCCAAATACTTCCAAACTTTAATTGAATGTTCCTTAGGGTATCTAGTTTGTAAATTATATCCGAAGTTTTGATCCATCAACAAACATGGCCGCCATGTCTAAAAATAGAACATAGGGGACAAAAGCAGTTTTTGGCTTATATCTCAAAAACTACAGCAGTTAGGGCAAAAGTGAAAGGAGTTAAAGTGATAAATGGGTCATGATCTATCTGATATGAAATATTCAGACAAGTTCGACAACCCATTGTTGGGTTACTGTTGGAAATAGTTTATCTTTATTAAATTTTACTGTTTTTGGTTATTTTCTTTAATATTATAATAGATAGAGAGAAAGTATAAATGGCAATAAATTGTCAGCTAAGTAAGATCTACAAATAAATCAACATGATCAAAATTATCTATTGACCCCTTAAGGAGTTAATGCCCTTAAATTTTTTGTGAAAGTCTAATTCCCTTTTCAAAAATCTTCTTCTCTGAAACTACTTGGTCAAATACTTAAAAACTTTAATTGAATGTGTCTTAGGGTATCTAGTTTATAGATTGTATTCGGGGATGTGTTTCATTCAAAAACATGGCGGCAGTTTCTAAAAATAGAACATAGGGGTCAAATGAAGTTTTTGGCTTTCATCTCAAAAACTAAAGCAATAAGAGCAAAACTGACATAGGTTAAAGTGTTAAACAGTTTTAGATCTACC